TGATGCCCCACAATAAAACCGAGCCAGTCCCTGAACCTCGGATGAACCAGGACTGCCAATACGCATCCTTGAGGTACAAGGACAACATCCAAGCGTCCGGCTCGAAAAGACGACGGACCTGGACAGAGTAGTCATCCAAAAGAAGGGGCAATAAACCCACAAGTTCAGACAAGACAAGTCTAAAATGAAAAGTCCCATTTCGGGACCGGAAACAGGCAGGAAACCCACCTGAGAGACGAGGTCGTTTCGACCACGCCCAAGCGAACCCACTCCGAGATGACTTGACAGAGCGCTGGAGAAGTGGCCTGCCCTGCCAGCCCCGAACCCCCGGAAAGAGGAGGGACCACCCAATGTCATAGCAGGCCGCACAAAACAACCCAAAAGGCCCTCAAATCATGGGACCAAGAGAGAGCGAACAGAGCGAGCCTCCCCCCATCACCCCGTCAATGGAACGAATCGCGAAAGGGCCGATACACATTAAGAGAACCTAAGTGGCGCACAGGGCGATCCCCACGCCGACCAGAAAAAGACGGAACCGGAGGCTGCGCCTGGCTCGAATCTGGCATCAGAGGCCTACCACAATGGAAAAAGAACCCCGAGCCCTGGCACGACCCTTCCCTTGACCCTTGAGAGGAGACTCAAGGGTCACATCCATCAAACCATAGAGCCCTGGGAAACCCCACAGGGGTTTCCCAGGGCCGAGTGACCGAGTTCTCAGGCCGAGAACCGTGTGACCCGGGTCCCCCCTCAGAAACAGCCAACGGCGGGACCGCAGCCGCAGCAACTCCTCTGGAGGGAGAGACAAGAAAGTGGTCCGAGAATCCCAAACAAGACCCAGCCAGGTCCGAACCTGGGACAGAACCAGATGGGACCTTCTCCAGTTCACCAGGAACCCGAACCTGGCGAGCTGGGAAAGAACCATATCCCTGGAGAGCAGACAAGTTGACCGACTGGAAGTCCACACCAGCCAGTCGTCAAGGTAGGCCAAAACCCAAATCCCTAGCAGATGCAGACGGGTCACCACAACCCGGGTAAGATGCGTGAAAATGTGAAGTGCCAGATTCAAGCCAAAAGGGAGGCAAGGGAGGCAACGAAAGCAGTAAGCCTGACGCCCCACTACAAAACCTAACCAGTCCCTGAACCCTGGATGAATAGGAACGTGCCAATAAGCATCCTTGAGGTCCATCTAGGCACAAGGCTCCAACAGAAATTGTACCTGGACAGAGTAGTTATCCAAAAGGAGGAGCAAGGAATCCAGGGGTTCAGATGGGACAAGTCCAGAATGAACCTCAGATCCGCACAGTCCCATTTCAGCACTGGAAACAGGTGGGAAACCCACCTAAGGGACAGGGTCGTATCGACCACGCCCAAGCACACTCACTCCAAGAAGACTTGACGAAGTGCAGGAGAAGCTTACCCTGCTAGCCCCGAACCCCCGAAAGGAGGATGAGCCGCCCAACACCACCACAGGCCGGATGACACGACCGAAAAGGCCCACAAATCGTGGGCAAACAGAGAGAGCCTCCCCCCCACCATCGCCTCATCAATGGGGCAAACCTCGAAAGGGCAGACTCCCCTTACGAGAAACCAAACGTCGAACAGGGTGATCACTACGCCGACCAGACGACGCTGGCACCGAAGGCAACGTCAGCTTAGAAACTGGCACCAATGGCCCACCTTGACCAGCGGAACCCTGGCACAACCCCTCCGAGACAACCGAGAACGACCACCCTGGAGAACCAACAAGTTCGACATAGGACGACAACTAGACGAAGCCGCTTGCAGAAACTGCGAGACTGCAGCCTCTGCAAACAGCAATGGACAAAACGGAGACGAAAACCTAAGAGTCAGGACCCAAGCGAATTCCAAAGAGAGGGCGAGCACAGCCTGACGGCACGTGAGGCAAGAAGCAAAAGTCAGAGACACCGCCTCCTTCAAGATAGCGCAAAGAGCTTCAATAGTGCAGCCGACGCCCTAGCTGCCGAAGTCAGCGCCCCAGACGAAGGCCCGGCACTCAACGCCTCCACATCCTCCTCAAGCCAGGCAAAAGACAGCTCGAGAAGGGGAAAAGAAACGTAAGACCGAAGCCAAATGCCCATGGGCTCGCAAATCCTCCGCAACCAACGCTGCCGAAAGAAAAGGAACCTGCATGCAAGGAAAAGGCCAACATCCTGAGAAAGCACGGGTCGAACAAGCTCGCTTTAAGGTGCTCTAACATGTTCCCCAGGTAAACTTGCAAAACTGTACAAGTTTCACACCAATCAAGCGTGCAGGTCTGACAGAAACCATGCCACGCCCCAACAAAAAGAATGGGCAGTCTGCCAGCCAGGAAGACTCCGGACCCTCCAAACGCACCCAAAAGCGGGAAGAAGAACTGAACTCAAAAGAGGATGGATCCATCACAGAGGCATAAACCGGGTCTCGCAAGAGGTATGCAGCAAGAGCCTCCCGAGTCTCCTTCGCGGAGATACGAGAAGTAGAAAACCTCTGGAAAGATGGAGGTGAGTTACCCAAAGGGGCCTGGAACTGAACCCGGGGAGGAGCCGAACTCAAATCATACTCATACCTTGAAGGGGGGTAAGAAAACATCTTCCCCTGCACCAATAAGCCCTGCAAGGAAGGCAAAAGCACCCAAGCGGGGACAAAGGGAGCTCAAGGCTCCCAGGTCAACTTCTCCCCAGCCTCGAGATCTCCCAAGTCGGGACTTGGGGCAGAGCCGTTTTCCAAACCCTCTACCCCTGAAGAAAAGGCCAAGTCCAGGGGAAAGGCAGACAAGACAGGGGCCTGCTGGTGGGACCCAGAAGCCTCGGCAGGAGGAACCGGCTCAAATGCCTCTGTCTCCGACCCGAATGGGGCAGCCCCCGAAGCCGCCCAAGTCTCATTACCAACTAAACTCCGTGCTGAATCCGAAACCCTCAGATGTTTGGGAGCCAGACACAGGGAAGAGGTGCAGATGAACAACAGGGGAAGGGCCAAGGAGCGCGTTAGGAGCCAAAGTTGAAGTGACTAATACCCCCAGGTCTGGATCCCTAAAACCAAAGCGGGGCAGCTTTGGGGCATCCGGGTGGGAAACCAACCTAGCACGTTGCAGTAACCTAAGCCTAACATGCAACACTGATGCTGCCTGTACCCTAAGGGCAACATCATCAGAGTAACACTGGAGCACAAACAGAGAACACGTCTTGCAAGACTCCAGGGTCAAAGGTGTCGTTGACCCAACAGGCAGCATGATGGAGGCAAAACAGGTGACTGTCAACCTGAGACAAGGGCACACAGCAACCTTCAAACCCGCACAAGGAAGGCTGGAACTCGAGAGATGCATTCATGAGTCCACCGAGCCCTGACAGGGTTTTCCAGGACCCATGGTAACAACTATGGAAAGCCCGGGCAAGGTGTTGCTAACCTGTTAAACACCCAAACTAACTAGGGGTAGATGACAAGACCGAAACCCCTGTGACGTGTACAAGCACGGGGGCCTAGCAGAAGGCCACCAAAACAATATCAGGGGAACTATAGTCCAACTAGGCACACCCCCCACCAGGTAAACAAAAAACAAAAGAAAAAAGAAAAACCCCGCAAAAGTAAACCGTCCCCAGACGCAACAGGAACTGGTCGCCGCATAGGTGGTAGGCTGCACAACACCTTAACGCCCTAACCAGCACAACACCACTCCCTACCCAAGGTCAAACAAGGGCCCCAAGCCCCAGCTGACCCCAAGGGCGAGGCAAATGCCGAGCAGCAAGAACCCCTATGGGAGCGGTTCCTGAATGCTTCAGGGGAGATAACCCTGACACACAGGGGCAGTGATCACAGGGCGCTTAGGGAAGGAAGCACCTAAGTTTGATGGCACTGGCACTGATGAGGTGCTCCTGGCCACCACACACCACGACAAGACAGCAGAGAATTCCACACAGGCAAACACCGTCCAGGAATTTGAGGCCAGAGAAGTGTCTGTCCCGGTTGACATTAGCTTACGAACTAGAGTGCTAGGCAGCCGGCATGGTGAAGTTCGGAGCCCCCCCCATCCCCCTCTTGGGGAGGGGAGGGCTGCGAGGACAAGCAGCACGGCAGTAGAGCTGCGAGGACAAGCGGCACGGCAGTAAAGTGTGATGTTTGCTTGTTTGCTTGTTTCCTTGGGATTGTAGGGAGTTTCTAGCTCTCTGTTTGTTTTTTTGTTTTAGTTTCTTAACATGTGGGGTTTGTTTTGTTATGCCTACCTTTCTGGGTGCCTAACCTTGGTCGATGGCAGATAAGGAAAACCCCCCAACCACAGAGGGGGGCTTTCCAGGGCCATTGCTCCCTGAAACCTCTCTGAAGGGGCCAGGTTCTGGGGCTGGTAGGTCTGAACTCTATAGCTAATGTCTCGGTCTAATATAAAGTACATTAGCCCGATAACCTCCACGGAGCTGTAGAGGCTCACCCACAGAAAATATATACAGTATATAAATTGGAGAAGTCTTGATTCAGGAAAATATTGGTTTCAAAGGAAGGTTATTGCTTTATGGAACAAATCACAGTGTACTAGACAATACAATAGACAAAATTGCTGGAGTGTTCAATAGTAGGTTAGACATATACTGTATATGAATGAGTTTTGGTGGATATAAATAGGAGCTGCCTTGTATTGGCTAATAGGTCTTCTGCAGTTTCATTTATTCTTATATTAGATTTTGGAAAAATATGAATTTTATCACATGAAAAGAGCTTCATTCCCCTTCCAATAAAAATTAAATCCATAAATTGTGAAACCAAGAGTCTGGAATGTTACAATTTAGATGTTTGCGGTTCCTCTGTACAGTATACGGACTCATGGATAAATAAATACAAATGTCTTGTATTGTATTTATTTTGTATAAATTTTTTTTGTATGCTTGTATGTTTGTTATTTTGTATGTGTTTTGTATTTATTTTGTATTATTTTGCATGTTGTATATAATGATACTAATGTGTGATAATTAACAATTAATTTTAAAATTTAGGAAAAAACTGAAATACTCTACCTTCAAAGCCTGGAATGTCTGGGGCTACAACCATCTCCTCCTGATTCATCTCCAACTCAGATGACTTAACATCTTCCCCTTGTAAAATAAGGGATTCAAGTTGTGCCTGACTTCTGTAGTCATCATCTTTCGTGTTGTTAATTTTTATTGTAGCTCTCTCAACTGGCTCATCGAGTGAGTCCCTGCATGAAGTACTTTTGCTAAGAACCCGACTCACTAACTGCAGAGATCCACAAGGGTTCATGGTGTACACAGAGTACATCAGACCTTCAGACTGAGCTGCATCACAGCCATTCTGTTTCAGGAAACGTATATTATTAAATCATGTAACGGATTCAAAAGGATTTGATACTTTAAATATTCTTGAAAGACAGATACGTATATTTTCTTTAAAGACTAATTAAAATACGTACTGTACATATGTTGTACAATATGTTGTATCTAACAGTCTGAATTGCACTACTTGGTCTAGTATACAAAACCCAATTTGCCTAATAAGCAGAGTGTTTTTCATTATTTTCAAATATTTCTTTCCAAATTGCTTTACTGTATTCCAAATAATATTATTATATTAAATAGGACTATTGACTTAGTTATGTTAGGTAGGTTAGGTTATGTTTGATCAAATTTCCATGATAATTTTAACTCAAATTAAAAAAAACAGCATTGAAAGTAATGAAACGCCATTTTCTGGGTGAGTCCCGGGGACTCCCCAGAGCTATCCAGGCTGAATGGATATGTATATCTTTCTGGCATCAGTCAATGCATGGAGTTCTTGCCTACCGGGGACCACGAGCCAAAACCTTCCCCCCTCCCCCCACCCCCAAGAGAGGCATGAGGAGCAATGGCCTATAGAGACCACCGCTGTGGTTGGGGCGGTCTCAATTCTATGTCTGCCATCGACCAGGACAGGCACCCAGGAAGGTAGAGGCCCCAAAACAAACCCCTATTCTGGTAAAAGTATTGCGACCGAAAGCCAAACAGGTGGACAGAACTCCCCAAACGAAAATTAGCAAACTAGCATGACGTCATCACGTCGCCGCACCGCTGTCTGCGCACCCCCTTCCCGGGAGGGGTAAGGGGGGAGCCCCAGACTCATCTGCTGGTGACCCAACCTATAGTTCTTAGGCTGGATGTCCAAAAAACCAGCGTTGAATGTAATGAAACGCCATTTTCTGGGTAAGTCCCGGAGGCTCCCCAGAGCTATCCATGGTTGATATGGATACCTAACTATTTTGCATCAGTCGATGTGGGTGGAGTTCTAGGCCTACCAGGGACCACAAGCCAGAACCTGGCCCTCCTCACAGAGGCACGGGGAGCAATGGCGCATAGAAATGCACATGTGATTTGGAGCATTCTATATCTGCCATCGATCGAGACAGGCACCCAGAAAGGTAAGGGCCACAAAACAAACCCCTATTCTGGTTAACAACGAAAATCAACAAACGAGTGGACAGAACTCCCCAAGAAAAACGAACAAACAAGCATGACGTTACACGAGCCATGCTGCATGTCTGCGCAACTCCCCCCTCCTCGGGAGGGGGAAGGGGGAGCCCCAGACCCCCGAGCCGACGATCCCCGTCCCAGTTCTGAGGCTGGATATCAAAATTGCGAAATACCACCGACCGGAGGGAGGGAGGGTGCCGGGGAGCCTCCGGGACTCACCCAGAAAATGGCGCTTCATTACATTCAACGCTGGTTTTCTGGGGAGAGCCCCTACGGCTCCCCGGAGCTACTTCCCCAAAGACTACTGAATAAAACATGGGGACTTACCTGGGAGGCGGTCGGTGCTCCATTCCTCAACTCAAAGTTGAGACAACAGGCTGCATCTGCCGACCTAAAGCAACACAGGCCCGACTGGGCCCAGCAACGTTCACAAGGGAGTGTGCAGCGAGGACCCTGTCCAACCACCAAAAATCCCGTGCCCGAATGTCAGCCCAAGACATATCACCGAAGACGGCAGCTAGAGCAGCAAACTTACGAACGTCATGGGCACGGGGATAGACTGCAGGCTGGCTAGATTTAATAACACCGCGGACTACCTGAGAGACCCGAACCCACGAACAGGGAAGAAGGGAAACCGGATCAACCTAGAGTGCATCCCCGGACACAGAAGCCGCGGTGTGTAGATAACGGCAGAGGGCCGCAACCGGACACAACACAAGGTGAAATCCCCGGCCTGAGAACCCAAGCAACAACCCAAGGACCTCTCCGGAAAGCAGCAGTCACATTCCTCGCCAGAAAAAAGGGAGACGGCTGCAGACGAACAAACCTATGATCACGACCAAAGGAGCAAAAAACCACTGCGCCCGAGAAGAGCATGAAGCTCCACCACACGACCCCCAGAGGCCAATGCCAACAGAAAAAGAGCCTCAGCAAAGCAATCCTGAACCGAAGGAGCCACAACAAACCGAGGAGAAGAAAGATAGGAGAGCACTCTGTCCAAAGACCAGGACGGCACAGGTGGTGCATGAGCAGGCAGGAGGTGAAACAACGCACGAGACAGCCTGCGAAACGGTGCAGAAGGAACATCGATACCGAAAGCTAGCAGCAGCGGCTCCGCCAGCGCCGCACGATACGAGGTGACAGTATTATGCACCAGATGACGGGCCTGGAACAACCGAGAGAAATGACAACACCACTCAAACCGAAAGCGAGGAACAACGACGAAGGGCCAAAAAGAACAGGAAGGACCGCCAGGAAACTTCATACTACCGCCGAGAGGAACCTGCAGGTGAGAAACCAACAAAGAAGCCATCTGCTCACCATAGGGATGGTGAGAAACACGAGTCAAAAACACCAAACGCGAAGACTCGCAGAGAAGAGCAAACCAGTCTCGTACTGGACCGGCCCGATCTCCAGAAGAGGCGGAGCCGCGGAAAAAACTCCGGGTTCGGACACCGTGCAAGCAGCGCTGGAAACCACGGCTGGGCCGGCCACCACGGGGCCAAGAGGACCACACGACCCTGGAAAGCTACCAAGCGAGCCAGGACCAGGAACAACAGCTGAACCGGGGGAAAGAGGTACAGGAACCCCCACCTCGATCAGACCCGCCGAAAGACGTCGAACCCGACAGCCTCGCAGTCGGGGAAGGGCGCCACGGAAAACGGAAGACTCCATGACCACGCCAACGCGAAGAGGTCCACCTCCGGGCGCCCGAATGTCCGGCAGAACCAACGGAAGGAGAGCCAACCTAGAGAACTCAGCAGACGAGTCACCCGAAGCGACCAACCCCAAAGAGCCGAGGACCGCATCGAACCCCTTCGGTTCAAGCAAGGAACCACCGGAGAGCAGTCCGAATGGAGCCAGAACGTCGATCCGCGGGGGCGACCCAAACCCACCGAAGCGCAAACCACACTGCAGTGAACACCCGCATCATGCTGTGGACCCGACGGAAGAACGGACCACACTGCCCCTGGTCAGCCTGGAGAGCACTGGTCACAAAGCCGCAGCCTAGCGACGATGCATCCGGGAACACATCGAGTGAGGGCTCGGGCAGGCGCCAAGGCACCGAACCCCGAAAGCCCGTAGATGAAGCCAGCGACACAGCAGCCGACTCAAATCCCCCGGAGGTCGAACCCAGCAATCAAGAGAGAGGTGGAAGGGACGTTCCCGAAGGAACCAGAACAGCCGACGAAGCCAAACCCTACCCGGCGGGTAGTACAACATTGCGAAGTTCAGGCTCCCGCACAAACCCTCGAGCAACCGCCTGGTGACCTAGGAACCCCCCAGAAACAGACACAGGCAAGACCACAGCTGAAGGAGAGACTCCGGAAGAAGAGACAAGGAAGCGGTTTGAGAGCCACACAAGACCCAGCCAGGACCGAACCTGGGAGGGAACCAACAGGACTTCCGCCAGTGCACCAGGAATCTGAACCCGGCGAGCTGGGAAACACTAATCCCTGGTGAGCAGACACGCGGACCGACTGGGAGCCCAAACCAGTCAGTCATCGAGGTAAGCCAACACCCGAACATGTAACAAATGCAAACAGGCCACCACGACCCGAGTAAGGCATGTGAACACGCGAGGTGCCAGATACAACCCGAAGGAGAGACAACGAAAGTGGTAGCACTGATGCCCCCACAACAAAACCGTAGCAATGCCTCCCGCAGGACCGGCGCAAAGAGCATGAAGAGCAATATGGCAGACGATGCCTGAGCAGCAGATACCAAGGTGCCAGATCCAGGAATGTCCCCAAGTGCCTCTACATCCTCTGCAAGCCAATCCAAAGACAGCTCCAGGAGGGAAAAGAAATGCAGGACCGACGCCAAAAAGCCACGAGCACACAATTCCTCCGCCACAAGTGCAGCCGACAAGGAAGGAACCTGCACAAGGAGCCGCACCGCACTAACAACCCGCAGAAGGGCAGGAGCGAAAAGACACTCATTAAGATGTGCAAAATCGCTCCCCAGGAAAACCTGGACACCACCGTCAACGCCTTGCGCCACTCAAATGTGCGGGGTTCGACAGAACGAGTCCCAAGCATCCAGCGAAAACAAGGGGCAGTCTGCAAGCCAGGACGAACCCGGAACTTCACAACGCACCCAGTAAGGACACGGTGATCCAAACCTGAACGAAGAAGGAACCATTACGGAGGCAAACTCCGGGTCACGCAGGAGGTAAGCTGCAAAGGCTGACCGCACCGTAGGTGGAGAGATGCGGGTAGCCGAAAACCTCCGAAAGACAGAACCGAAGAAACCACAGGGACACGGAACCGAACCCGGGGAGGAGCAGAACCCAAGTCCAAATCGTACGCAGAGGGGGGAAAAGAAAACCTCATTCCTTGCAACAGTAAGCCCCGCTCAGAAGGACGGAAATCCAGGCGGGGTCCAATGGAGCCCAAGACCCCAAGGCAGCTCCTCCCCAACCCCAGGAGCCCCTACACCAGGCCCCGGGGCCAAGTCGACCTCCAAAGCCCCGGGCTCACAAGAAAAAACCGGGGCAGCAGAAAGAGCTGGAAGAGAAGGGGCCCACTGGTCAGACCCCAGAGCATCGGCCGGAGGAACAAACTCGAATGCCTCCGCAGCTACCCCGGACGGGGCAACCCCCGAAACTGCCCAAGTCTCAGAAACCTCTAAACCCCGCCCCGACCCCAAAGCCCTCAGACGCTTAGGGGGCGGAAGCAGGAGGGGGGAATAAAAAGAACCACCGAAGGGGAAAAACAAGGGGGCGTGGCCGGAACCAAGGCCTAAACGACCAAAACCCCCAAGTCTGGGTCCCTACGCAAAGCAGGGCAGCCTCGGGGCGTCCAGGAAAGCGACAACCCGAACAGGTTGCAACAACCTGCACCCAAG